TAAGTATGTAACACATTAGACACTAACGCACATTCATCATGAGCAGCATATCCATCATGGGCAGATTCATCACCACGAGGTGTGTCACTGTCAATTGTGGCATGCTATTAGAATTTCCGACTGTTTTTGCACGTTTGAGTACCTGATCGTTCGTGCTCCATTTTCAACGCCCCTTTCTCAACAAGGAGGCCTCCCTTCTCTACAACAAACCTATCTGCCTCTAATTGCTCCCCTTTCTTTTCAGTTTCAAACAGTCCCAAGAGGACAATATTATCTTCATTGACTTCTTGCTCCTTTTTTCTTCACCAGCGTCTCAATGATGTTTTGCTCTTCGAACTACTCAGGCCAAATCCAGTAAAGATATTAAGTCATCGATGGGATCCTCTTTTTCAGCGTCAAAATACATTCACTTCTTAGAATTATTGCATCGTTTATCATACCCCATGTTTAAAATCGTCTGAGCTTCCTGGGATGACTGGCAGTTTCCATCGGTGGTGATATTTTCTGAAGAATCGACTCCTCCTGGAATTTCACGTGTAACTGATGGACTCAGGATATTTGAAACTTCGTCATTTATATTATCTATACAGAGACCACCATGACTGGTTTAATATGGAGTTTTAGAGGTGCTGCCTGAGCTGCGGAATTCCTAAAAAACAGTTCATGGATGACCTCCGTGGGTTTGAGTGCCCGTCTCAAGCTCTCCAGCTCGCACTTTCTCTTCGGCCTTCGCAATAGTCGGATCCGTTCTTGAGAATGGGAGAGAAAGTAATTGTACGACTTGTGCACACTCCCCTAAGGGATGTTCACACCACGATATGAATTTTCACTCCCTTATCTTCGTTTCAGAGGACTTTCTTCCAAAATTCGCAAGAAGGGACGCTACTCAGGCATGATAAAGTAAATACTTTCACCTTCATTTCATAGGCGTCATTCTCTTCCAAGAAGGAAAACAGGAATTTCATGCTGCTTCCTTACAAATACGGTCGGATATCCGCATACATGAGCTAATGTGTCAGTATGTCAGTAGGGGATATTCCTCATTGACGGACAAGTGGATTTTCGTGAGTGAATGTCAGTCAAAAGATTACGAACTGGAGGCCACACTTATTAGGTTAAAAGACAAAAAAGCCTGCTGTGAACAAAATTGCCATGGCAGGTCCTCCTATCTGCGTATCGAATGCTTGCACCGATTGACTTTCCTAGTTGAATCTCCATCGACCTGATTCGAATCGTAGCACGACCTAGACATAGAACTCCATCGCCGACCTGAGAAATGGAGAATATGGCAGGCGAGAGTTGCACTGCCGAAAGAATAACATACGATTGGGTGAACCAAGATGTGACGGTGCAGCTACAGAGAATTTCAAAGTAACTTGAACATGAAATTCATTCATTGAGAATCACCAATCCAAAGTCTCGTCAGCACGAGGGGAGGTTGAAACTCCGTTTCGAAAAGGATCCAGCCGCTACCTGCTCACGATGTATTCAGAGTGACAAGAAAGTTCCCGGACACCTTTTCAAAAAGCAGTTACATTCGGGGGAAACGTTAATTTTTCCGCGGAGAGCTTTGTTGAAAAAAAAAACATTTTACTATTGTTTGTTGTACGTAAAAGACATCTTTTGAATATCAGGTTCAAATTTTTTAAGTCAATGTATTTAAGTTCCTCTACAATCGTGAATGGTGCGTGCATTCGTTCATCAGTTCTCAAAATAATTGAAGTGCATCAAAGGAAAGGGTGGATATTTTCTAAATGTTTGAATATTTTAGTTAAATTTCTTTAATGTCACATTTTCCGGTGACAATGTTTGTCATCGTGACATTAAATGAAATATTTTATTTTTAATGTTTCAAGGAACTTTCTGGTCACCCTGTGAATCTTAATATTCTTTGCAATTAAGATATTTTCATGAGTTCCTTTCAATATGCATAAACAAGAACTTCTGAGCATGTTAACGTCAAAGCAGTGCTTACTGCGTTAACTACGTTAAGTAATACTTGACAGTTTCTTTTTCCTCGAGAAGTGGAATCTTGCAAATGTAGTAGTTACTTCCTATCCACTTTATGAATGATTAATTAGTCTTTGATCACCGGTTTCCAGATATTTCTTCAGAGATAAAGCACTGTCTTCATGGGTTCGAAGAAAAGAAAGGCTCCACTCATTGAGCTAAAAAATGATCATTTCTCCCGAAAGATTGAAAGCCGCTGCATATACACATGTAGATCAACTTCACCCCACCTTTAAAAGAGACATCCACTATATATACCAAGTCCTCCACGAGATGTTTCGTTTTTTGATTATATTCTGTGTCACCACTACATAATGCAAAAGTGCTTATTACCCTTATTTCATGAACATTTCTCCTTTTTCCACGAAAAAATCGAAAACCATTCTTCTCACTCCATGTGTTTTTGTTAACGAGTGAAGTGAAACCTGTTCTGCCTAAAATGATGAGTGAAGAATACCATTTTCCTTTATGAGGCACTGGTTATTGGTGTCCACCATATGTTGAAGTAATCACAGTGACTCGTAACAATCATGGGGAAATGATTGATTTCCAGAAAGAAAGAGAATCGAATACAGTACTACACCTGATTCTTGGACTGGTCCAGGTTTCCCTGAACCATTCCTTTGTCTCTCTCAATCCGTTGGCGTGCGGACTTCTCCCTCTCCAGCTGCATCTCAAGCTCCTCATTTCGAGACTCATATCTTGCTTTCTCCTCCGACACACGCTTGCACTTCTCTTCCTTCTCATCCAGTGCCTTTGATAAGTCCTGAAGCTGCCACTGGGTCATTTCTTCCTAAATCATGAGTTAGCGCCACTTCTCTGACTCACATCCTAAACATCAATTCTGTTATATGGAAGTGAGACGATGGGATAGAAGGATTACCTGAGATCTCTTTTCTCTGAGATTAATCTCTATTATGTGATTCCTTTTTTCTACATCTTCACGCATTCGCTGCTCCCTCTGGAGTTTCTCTTGAAGTTGTTCACATTTATTTTCATACTTCTCTTTCAGTTCTTGGAAATTTTTTGTCTTCTCCATTTCTTCAACCATTTTCAGCGTCATATCCTTCAGCTTCTCCTGCATCTCCCTCATCTAAATAATTACTCTATTTTTTTGGATGTTATTTACGCAAGTTGACAAAGAAATATCCATACAGCAAGGGAAAAAGCAAATCTCTCGCTAGGGTAAGTTACACTCCTCTTTCAGTTGCTTCGATGAAGCTAGTTAACTGCGTGATTTGTCAACTACCTAGAGGAATAATTGCGCAAAAAATTTCCATTTACTCATTTTTGGCCATCTTTGGTCGAGTATTTTTCGATTTAGCGGAGCACATACGGTATCGTGGGTAGTGTCTTCAGGAATGTGAGCCTGAGATCTATCGAACTACTAAGGGTGTTCCAAAAGTTTCAGGAAAATATTTCTTTAAAAGTAACTAGAGGTCGTAGAGGTCGTACTTTTAACCAAATGCGCCTGAGTGTATAGAACCTGTTTCCTTTAGTCTTAAATCATTCATGCGATTGCCTTCACGGTGTTCACATGGAGAAAGAGGCGGTCATTTTGCAAGTAGCGTTCCGTGACCCGCATTTGTTGCTTGGAGGTTGCTAGTGTAACGGAAATTAATCAGCGGTTGGAAAAAGTGTTTGGGCCGAAAACCAATAGCAAAAAACTAATTTTGAGGGGACTAGAAGTTTAAAGAGCTACAGGTGATCCCTAAAGACGCGAATCGCATTTTGCGGCCATCGGTTGCAGTGACTGAGGAGAGTACATCAAACGTATATGATGGTGCAAGCTGACAGACCTATCACAGTGCGTGAAATTGCTGCTGATCGTGAGATAGGCCAAATGAACGCTCATCGATACTGCGAGACTCTGGAGGAACTCAAAAGGACAGTTTCGAAGAAGAGGGCAACATTGCGCGGGAAAAAACTCTTGTCTCTTCATGGCAACGCCAGGCCCCACACTGCTTTGGAAACTTCCGCCCTTCTCGCCCACTTTCAGTGGACTGTTGTTCCAAATCTGCCAGATAGCCCTAAGAGGTGATAGTCTGAAGGAACAAGCAAGATCAGGATCAAGATCCCAATCACTTTTGTATCCAACCGCCAATTTCCAGACAGGGCCTGTCCACTATGTTCATTTCGGAGTTACAGCCAAATTTCTAGTTCCCCAGCATTTCACATTTCAATCACCGCGATCACGAGAGTAAGTTACGGGGGAAACCATCAGGAAAAAAACTCCAGAAGCTTTACTGTTAGTAAAAGAATTAACTGACATTCATGACCAGAGATCGGGCGGTGGGGAAAGCTGAGGCAAACCTCGACCAAAGATGACCAAAAATGAGAAAATGGCAAATTTCAGGCAATTATTACTCTATAAAGCTCACAAAAGTCAAAATGATAAATTGCTTTATCAGTGCAACTGAAAAAACCGTACAACTTACCGTTACGAGAGATTTGTATTTATAAGGCTACAGAGAGAAATTTGACGATCAAAATTGCGTAAATAACACCTTTTCGAACTCAACCATGATGCCGAAACTTCATTCAAACTCCAAGGATGGATGAACATAATTTTCCATCTATCGAGGAGCTTTGATTTGAGCTATGCCTCAGTACGATAAACAGATAATGAAATTAAAATTTTTCCATTCTTTGGATTTCCCCGTTTTCCGCCAGAGGACGAGGGACGATATCTCGCTAACTGCAGACCCGATAAAGCCGATTTTTCTTTATGGACTCGTCAAATAGACAGCAATTGCTGATATGTAATATCGCGAAATCCGAGATCGTCGAGCATCCTGTCTGGTTGAGTTAGTATGGAATGACTCCAACATGAAACCTGTCCTGCCTAAAATGATGAGCGGAGAATACCATTTTCCTTTATGAGGCACTGGTTATTGGTGTCCACCATATGTTGAAGTAATCACAGTGACTCGTAACAAAATGATGGGGAAATGATTGATTTCCAGAAAGAAAGAGAATCGAATACAGTACTACACCTGATTCTTGGACTGGTCCAGGTTTCCCTGAACCATTCCTTTGTCTCTCTCAATCCGTTGGTGTGCGGACTTCTCCCTCTCCAGCTGCATCTCAAGCTCCTCATTTCGAGACTCATATCTTGATTTCTCCTCCGACACACGCTTACACTTTTCTTCCTTCTCATCCAGTGCCTTTGATAAGTCCTGAAGCTGCCGCTGGGTCATTTCTTCCTAAAATCATGAGTTAGCGCCACTTCTCTGACTCACATCCTAAACATCAATTCTGTTATATGGAAGTGAGACGATGGGATAGAAGGATTACCTGAGATCTCTTTTCTTTGAGTTCAATCTCGATTATGTGGTTTCTTTTTTCTACATCTTCACGCATTCGCTGCTCCCTCTGGAGTTTCTCTTGAAGTTGTTCACATTTATTTTCATACTTCTCTTTCAGTTCTTGGAAATTTTTTGTCTTCTCCATTTCTTCAACCATTTTCAGCGTCATATCCTTCAGTTTTTCCTGCATCTCCCTCATCTTAAATAGTTATTGAGCTCAAAATGATCATAAAGGGTATGGAAAGAAAATTACTATTTTAGAATTATTATTTCGTTCGGTAAGTGAATGGTATCGAATGTCCTTTCAGCTTATGTACATGTATGTTTTGGTCGTCCATAGAATCCTCTTTTGGAGAATCTAAAAATCATGTTCACCCACAGAACCATTTGAAAGCTTGAGAGTTAATCCTGTTCCATTTATTTCTCATCTCCCTCGAAAATAAAGGGAACCTTTCGATTATTTCTGGACCTTCTAGCTTTTCTCCTTTTGAGCCCCCTAGTGTTCTAGGAAGAATATGATGTAGATGTTAACATACTCTGAAATACTAGTTCATGCCTATTGCAGGCTAACACATGTGAATGACTCAGTTGTAAAAAAAGATTGAGATTCATACCACGTAAGCAGAAAGCGACAATACACTCATGGAAGAGTTTCAATCTCACCTGTTGCTGAGGAGAATTTGACTATTGTTATAAGATTGGTGATTCTCAATTAATGAATTTCATGTTGAACTTACTTTGAAATTCTTCATAGCTATTCCTGTTCTTTCTTCACACAATCGTATGTTATTCTTTTTCAATTGACTTATTTCACAAAAATGCTCTTCATGATGAAAGAGGATGAGATTGAAAGGCAGACCTTAATCTTCCATTCGTCGAAATTCTCTTCAATTTTCTGGGTAGTTTGCTTCATCCTATGACGCATATTTCGCATCCCTTGATGTATAGTCTCGAGTTCCCCCTTAGGTTCTTTGCACAGATTCTCCTGTTCCGAACCCCGAATGAATGTAATCGTGATGGGGTGAACAATATGGGTATGAGAGCAGATTCATCCAATTGTCCAGAGGGGAGCATACCAATTTCTAATGAGCATTTGTTGGTGTATCTAGACGTTTTACACATCCCAAGCTGATTCGTACTTACAATGACATACCCGTTTTGATTAGATTTAATGCTACCTTCCTAAAAGATTGAACACCTTGGTACTTAGAGTTTTTGAATAAAACAAGCACAAGGGTTGTGAAATAAATCGGATCCATGTTGGTTTCGATTAAATACTCAAGCACTAGACAAATTGCTGACTGCAAAAGAGATTTACCTAATGTTGGCGCTAAAATCAATTTTTTATTGCATGTATGTTGGAAAGGGTATTCATATCCAAACAATACAGGGTGATCATATTTAAACGCAGCATGGGGACAGTTTTCCCCTGCTAGTGGAGTTCAACTTACCGAATGCCTTATTTTTAAGGATGAAAACAAACACTGTGGTTTTTCCTTACAAGTAAGCAACACCGTGGGCATTGTAGCTTTGGCCAAACTCCACATATAGGCAAGAAAATATTTTTTATACTGCGTGTAAGCATGAACACCTTGTATACAGTGACTACATAAATTGGCCCTTTTAATTTATTTTTTTCATAACTCCCGAACATGACAAGGTATCGGAAACGCTATCCTCTCTCCTGATAGCAATGGTTCATCTCTTTTTTTTTGTTTCACAAACTGCCAGTATATTGCTTTGCTATATGCTGGTTAACAGGTAACTGCAAGGACCTCAAGCATTAGGATAGATTGTCTTATTTTTCTATTTCAACCTAATTTGTGCCTTGCTACTCGATATCGATCAGCCCAAGGTTGAGCTTACCGGATGAAATTCACATTTGGTGTCACATAATGAAACGAGATTCGGACGTATAAACGTTTAGGATTCCTTGTATAATGCACCATTATTCATCTCAGCAAACGTGCAGCCTGCCTCTCTTGAGCATCTCTCAATTTCTCAATATTTCTAACGAATGTTCGACGAGTCAACACGTCATATTTTTTAGACTGTTTCTTATTGCCAACAAATTGAACTACCAAATGCAGAAAATTCAAAAGTGGACTGTTCAACCAGCCTTTCTCTGGGCAAAATGCGCTCAACTTCGATAAAAGTTACTTCTGGTGAGGTCGCTACAGCTGCAGCAACGCTCTGAAGCTGAAAATTGAAGTTATTCTTCAAGACTAATTCCACCTCTCAATTTTGAAAAATTTAGTTCACAAGGATTGTTTCCAGTCGGCACCCAATATCAAGAACGTGCGCTCTCGCATAACCACGTGAAGGCACAACGTCATTTTGCTCTCAAATGCAACGGGTGGATAGAAGATCACTCAAAACGCGCCATTTGATCATCACCATCATCATCATTACCGCATTGGTAGTAGGAGCACTGTTGAAACCATAGCAATAATTTCTTTCCACCTGTCCAGGTATTTCGCTGTTCGCGCAACTCTGCCATCCCACGGCCCGTGCATGACTTGATGTTCTCTGCCCAACTCATTTTGGGTCTTCCTCTCTTCCTGGTGCCGTCAACCGTGCCTTGTAGAACTGTTTTTACAAGGCTTCACTCTCTTCGGCAAACGTGGCCAAACACTGTAGCTTCCCGCGCCTCACGATCGCTGTTGTTGTCTCAATTTCACTAGTCCCTTGCGTGATGTTCTCTTACCGAGGGGTTCCTTTGGTGTTCTGTGTACGGTATTTTAAGCAGCCTCCGAAACCATCTCATATCAAACGCCTCTGAGGCATCCCAACTCAAGTTGTCAATTTTTAGTCACTTTCGTTGGGCTTCAGACTCTGATTGGCTTGATAAAATTTGAGCATGCTGAAATCAAAGACTTATGAAACCTTTCACATTTTAGCTCCCTGGCTCTAACGGTTTTCGAGATATGCAGCTCTAAACTGAGCCCCCAAGAGGAAAAGTGACCTTTGGGGTAAAAACGCTATCTTTCGTCCCAGTCGAACTAGAAAGGGGTATTTGGACTCTAATTATAGCTGAGAAAATGCCGAATCTCATTATTAAATCAATTTTCTACTACGTTCATCACCGAGTGAGTTACACAAATTCATAAATGGCAAATATTGCCAAAATTGACACGCACATTTTGAGCACTAGGATGCATGGCAACACAACGAGCTTTGGGAACGTTGTAGACTAAAGTAATGCTAATTCAATAACTAAATTTCAACTTCCTACATCGTTTGAAACAACGTAAAATAAAATGTTAAAACTCCAATTTTGCGCATTTTCACTCACTTTGACGGTTTATACACCCTGTTTCAAACGGGATCCAAACTTGAAACTAGTGTGTAATAAAAGCTCTCTCTAATTTCTTTCGAATGGTGTATTACAAATGCTGTTGAATTTAATATGCGTGTCTTTGTCATTTTTTTAACGATGGAACCCGTGAGTTTCCTTCCTGAAATGTTTTACCCAAAGTACCAACAATGGGAATCCTTGTGAAACAACCAGGTCTGGGTATATCTCACCAGTGACCTATAAATAGCCGTAGTTCTATTCCATATGTGTTTCAAGGTTTAAAAAAAATATTTGGAGTTTTATGGATATGCTGCAACTACAATTGTGCTGACCTTAACGCTTCATTTCCTTCCCCGACTAAGCAGACTTCAGAATGGAATTGGGACATTCCGCGCCAATTCGAGCAGACTGTAAGCTCGACCAGCACCGAATAGGACGAAAATAGCTATACATGTAGCGGAATCGATTTAAAGAAACCAATTTTAGCCAATTTTTTACATCTCCCACCAATCTCCTGATATATGCATTTGACTGGCGCCAATTTTTGGCTCCCTGTGCCCATACTTACAGGAATTGTGAAAATGTTTCATCATGTTCAGTGTTCTCGAATTTGGTATCCCTAGAAAGAGCATAACATGCGCTTTTGAATACATCATTAGAATGAAGAATTCCAGAGGTGGCAAGTGTCGCTTTTCAACACTGAACATGATGAAACCGTTCAGTCACGTGGAATTTTTTGGTTTATCTTTCAATGCCTCCTCTATTCTCCTTTCGAGTTTCTTGGTCAATGCCCACTTCTGAAACTCCCTTATGGAAAGTCCCCCTGTAGTCCACTAGGGGACTATCCAAATCCTCCGGGTGATCCACAAGTGCACTAACAGTTAGTCATGTGGAATAGTGTGGAATTATTGTGGACTGTAGTGGAGAAGTCCATATGAGGAATAATGTGGACATAAGAATTTCCTCACGTTGACTGTTTGTGGATCCTCTTAATCCATGTGAGATCCACATATGGATTCATCCAAATGGTTTGGCGTTGCATGTCAGCCAAAAGAGATCGGAATCTGAGCTGAAGAGTCGACTCGATGGGAAGTGAACTAAATGCTGACATCTGCTGGCATTCCTTTGAATATGGTCTCTAGGAAATCATCAAATACAGCTAGCTCCATATTCCAAAAAGAGAATGATTCAAGGTATGCAGCAAAAAAAATGCTAGGAAATTATTCAAAAGTGTATTTAGTTCAGGCGCATGTGAGGGATTCGGTCGCAAGACGAAATCGAAGGAGCATCATTCACAGATCAGAAAGTGTCAAGTCAATTCAAAGCATCAAGAGGAAATTTGTGTCAACGGTAAGAACTTTCGGAAACGACACTAAGTACAATAAATTTGTGATATTAGAAAAATGCAAATCGCCAATACTCTCCCCATTGGTGAGTTTGGTTTTAATATTCTAATACTCAGCATGTAGCAAACCAATTGAGTGGCAGCTTGTAGTGAACAATAGAAAAGAAACTTTTCTTTCAGGGTGCCTATTGAGTTTCGAATAACTTATATTGCTGAAGAATTATGGCATTACAAAGTGAAAAGTTACGATAAAAATTACGATTTTTATGCATTCCACTGAGAGAGAAAGCGGACGCTTTTAATCAGCTGCACAGCTCTCTTACCGGTTGAAATATAAGCGGAACGTTTGTGTCCGTTGGCTCTCCAAAGGGCATAAGCGGATGGTTCATCTTGGGCGTTGTGTGTGATTTCCTCAAACTAAGAAAGTAACGAAACATGGGGCATTTTGATTTCATTGTTTCCGCGCAACGAAGTGCATTGATAGATCTTGATTTGCGACTGTAGAACATCGTTAATCGTTGCACCTGTACAATATCTTTATGACTTTTAACTGCGG